TTTCGATCTTTTAGTGCCAACATCTCTATATGAATTTATTTTTTGTTTTTGCGAAGAGTACCTAATGTTGTTAATTTATATCGCTCTTGTAACAGTTCATCAACTAATTTCACTGACGTAAACCAGTTGTCCATGGTTACGTTCCGATTTGATCCATGGACAGATTTTGTTAGTTCTTTGACCATTGGCATTAGTTTTCTTTCCCAAATCCTTGCATCCAACATATATTTACTGGAGGAATCACATAACAACTTTGAAGGTTTATTGGGAATGTACATCCTGAAAGGGCATCTTTCCCGGAATCCTAGCAGTTGCTCATCAATTGTAAGATATGATGATTGAGTATATGAAATGCGGCGTATTTCAATGAAAATATCCTATATTTTGGGGATATGAATGAAAGAATAATTTACTTGTCTCTCTTGCCTTGTTTGCTTTTTGTCAAATCTTATACAATTTAGTAGAAATCTAAAACGATTACAATTCATATACGCTCTGTAAAACGTTCCTGAAATGGAGGTGTTAAACATATATTTTGCAGATAAATGGCTATCTTTTTTGCGGCAGAAAGGACAAGAATTGCAAGTAAGGCTCTTAATTCTTCAATTGATATTTGAGACACATTTTCATGATTATTATGTTTCTCACCTTGTCTTACAATTTCTGCATTTGTATGTTGCAAAATAATTTCAAGTGGCGTATTTGGAAAGAAATGTAAGAAGTGTTCATTAAAAGTATTTTTTAGCGGTACCCCTGGGACCTGATACGATGTGAATAAGATTCCTTGAAGCTGTCCTTGATTTATGGGGAACTTCGGTCGACCTCTTATTCTTACCCTTAAAGCTATTTCTTGTTGGGACGACTACATACTTTAATTTTCCAGATATCGTCGTAGAAACTTTTTCAATAACCGAAAAAGCATCTTGCTCTATCGGTTCATTAGAACAAGGAGATACAATCAAATCTTCGTCAGCTTTATTATCCAAGTGTGAAGATTGTATCTCCAGATTATCTTCTTCCCAGTCGCTGCCACTGTCTTCAAAGGGATCTGAAGCAAAGTCTTCACCATTCATAATACGCGCAGCCTCTTCTTCCAGTTCTTTTTCTGTCAGTGGCCTTTTGGAATTCATTTTACTGAAATCCAAAATATATTGTTCTGAAGCTAGTTCCTTGGAGCATCTTATGTAATTTACTATTGTATTTGGGAATAAAGCCACAATGTTAGTTTAAAATTAATTTATTTGACGTTTCGACTTCCACTTCGGAAATCATTATCAAAATATCGATTACAAAAAACGATTTCGAAACGAAGTGGAGGTCGAAACGTCAAATAAATTGATTTCAAACTAAAAACGTTTGGCTGTATTCCCAAATGAAACAGTAAATTCCAAAATTTATATTTAATACAAGAATACAAAATAAAATAATGAACTAACAACTTACCTCTATGAAATTTATACGAAGACGATGGAAATAGAAAAAAATCTATACCTACTAATAAAACTATCGTAGATACCGGTAGAGCTTCGTAAAATTGACGATGTGTGTCAATGGGACAGCATAAAAGGTTGTGGCACAACATAAAAAAAAGTTAAGGTACCGAGGGAACATAAAAGTGAATATAAAACCTCTCTGGCTCCTACACTATAAAAGAACTCTTTAATTTGTGTACAAACATCAATGAAGAAAATAATGCATCTACTTTTTAGTTGCAAACATAATCACCTTGTTTACTTTTACTACCAATTTATCTATTCATTAAAACCTACATATAAAAAAGAAATTCTCAATGATCGCTATGAGTTTTGTATTTCTAAAGATGCATAAATTTATCTAAAATCAATACATACTATATAAAGCTGTATTATTTGCCCCATAACATAATTGTATATAAAATGTCACTAAACCAGTTAATTCTAGTTCTCTTTCCTCCTTACACATGAATGAATCTGTCGATAAACAATAATAGTTTCTTGTCGTGACTGTTGTTATTGTTTGTAATAAAGCCAATACATAAATTAATTGTAACAATAATCGCTTGGTATCGTGAACTTTCTTTATTGTAACCCGGAGGTGAATCATTTATAATGTCATGTTACATGCGGTCAATCAAAACAAACGTTTAATTAAAAATATAAATATTTATTAGTATCAAATTTTGCTGTTGGTGTTACAAAAAACGGAAATTTTGTAGGAAATTTGTTATATTTGTATATTTTTATATCAGACGTCAGAACTTTGGACTTTCTACGGTATCGAAAGCTTTTTCATAATCTATAAAAGCCAGACATAATGGTATTCGTTAGTCTTTTCTATTAGGATTTTCAAAGTATATAGATGGTCACAGGTGCTGTGCCCGTTTCTAAATCCGGCTTGTTCTACTGGTTGATATTCGTCAAATTTAATTGTTAACCTGTTTGTAATAATATTTGTAAGGGTTTTGTAAAGTTGGAAAATTATTCGATAATTTTTCAGGTCTGTGGTGTCTCCTTTTTTGTGAATTAGTATTGTTTTATCAGTATTCTATTGTTCGGGTATGTTGCCTTCGAATGGACATTTAGTAAATAGTATTTTTAGATATGTGATGGCTTCTTCTTCGCCTTCCGTCATCATTTCTGCTAGAATTCAATCACTTCCAGAAGCTTTATTCCTTTTTATTTCTTTTACTGTCCTTTCTATTTCGTCGTGGCTTATTTCGGACATCACTTCTGAGTTGACATTTGTTATCTGCCTTTTCAAGTTCTGCTTTGAGGAGTTACGGGGATCGTTTCTGGAACGATACAGATCGGCGTAAAATTTTTCAATTGAGTTTGCTATATCAGATTTACTTTTTTCTAGTTGTCATTGATCATTTTTAATGGTTATTATATTTTTCTTTCCTAGTTTCGGTTTGGTGCATTTGAGATTTCGGTTTTTCTCTCTAACTTGTTCTATACGGTCTTCTTGATGTTTTTTAATGTCTTCTTTTATCTGTTTCTTATTACTCGATTAAGTTCCTTAAATTCTGCAGTATCTCTTTTGTTTTGTCTTAGAAGATCTTTTCTTTGTTTCAGCATGTTTTGTGATTCTACACTTATTTTGGATTTTCGTTTTCTGTTAACGGTTGCCACTTCTTAGCTTCAATTTTATAGTTCTTTTGTTATGACTTTATTGTTTTCATTTAACACTTAGACTACCGCCATAGTGAAAAAAGAGGGTCCTTCCAGCCGGGCATATTTCTATCCCATATAAATAACATACAAGCGAGAATCAAAAGCTGATTCTCGCGGCAACAGAATCAAATTGGCCGTGCATCACGCCATGCTTCTCATGGCAGTCAAAGTGTTAAGCTAAGTTTATCTAGAATTTAATACTCTCGCGGGTTTTAACTTGCTTTTATATTGTTCTGTATTAGATTTTAGTTTATCTGTGTCTATATTCAAAGTCTTTCTAAATTTATTTTTATTTTTATTATGTTGTATCTCTAATTTGGCTCCAACCATTCGGTGATCGCTACTTACTGACGCTGTATTTCTTACTGTTACGTACTGTATGATATCTGTTTTGTTCCACAGTATGCAATATATTTCGTTCCGAGGGGATATTTTCCGTCTGGGGATAGTCACGTCCACTTTCTTTGGGGTTTTTTCTTATATAATGTGTTCATTACATAGTATTTGTGGGATTGTAGGAAGTTAACCAAGGTTTATCCCCTCTCATTTCTAACTCCAGAGCCGAATTGTTCTATATACTTTTCGGTTTTTTCAAGTCGTCCGATCTTAGCGTTGAAATCTCCTATTATCATCGTATACGTGCTATGATAATTCGTGCTAATTTATAAATAATGTGAATTGTTATAATAATATCTTCTTTATCCATGACATTTTATTCATTTTATTAAAAATTAATATTATTACTGATATGAAGGAAAGATTGTCACAGGACCAATTACATCCAAAAGCCATTCAACAGGTTAAGCGCCAAGGATTTTTCACCAACATCTGATATTTGTATAGACCAAAGCACACAGTGGAATTAAACATAATGAACATGTGGACCAATTAGCCAAATTAAGTATTTATTTAGTGGATACCACAGAATACCCAGTATTTCTGATTTGGTTGCTACACGCAAGGCAGTCTTCAAATGTAAATGGAGTGATCTATGATCTGAGTTTTGTTTTACCAATCCAAATAGATACACTTCTTTACACACAACTGTCCCTGTTTCACATTAGCATAGAACTTATAATTTCCCTAGGCGTTATATAACAACTATATCTAGGCTAAAATTTGGACATGCTTGTTTTCCTGCTCATCTTGCAAAAATTCATGTGATTGAGAGTAAAAACTGTGTGGAATGTAAAGTAGAAGGCGACCTAGATCATGTAATTTTTGGTTGTGTCAAATATAATTTGGAATTCACCTTATGATATTATAATATAGTTCATATTATCGGTAAATCTCCGTTTAATGTTTTATCTGCCCTAGCGACTCAAAATAGATTAATTTACGATTGCAGAATCGATTTTTTGACCAAATGTAATATTTTTCTTTAGATAAAAAAAAATGTTTTTAATTTTTACCTTTGTTTTCTCCCCTTTATATGTTACATCCTATTTACCGTGGCCTAGTTTTCCTGTGTATGTTATAGATTATAATGTCCTGATGGTCCCCTGGATGTGAAGCGAGTGACCCATGTTAATTGTATGTGTTTATGGATATATATGTGTATGTATATATATCTTTTCTCTTCTTTTCATTAATTGTTGTACTGATTTCCCAATTTTAAATTTATTTATTGTAGTCTATTCGATTGCAAATAATGCAAAAACTTTTTACTGCGCCTAATGAGATGAATAGATCATGTAACTGGCTGTATGTCAAACTGTTGAAGTCATATAAAAAAACTGCAGCTTTCTCTATACGGAATAAATCTCTAAAAATGGAACTGTTTTAACAATATTTACAATTGGTTTTAGTCCACAAATCTACATATGTAGTTTTCTTGTCATTTTGCAGTTCAGATGATGGTTTAACGCCTGTTCATATAGCCGCAGCATGGGGAAGAATGGAAATTCTCGAGATGCTGTTAAAGTTCGGAGGCGATCCTGAATCCAGGGATTCCAATTGGATGACACCCATCCATTATGCCACGAAAGAATCTTATCTGGATTGCCTGGATCTCCTCAAGTCGTATTTACCTAGCAAGTACGATGTTCTTTATAATATGGAGAAAGAAGACTGTTTTCAATATAATTTAGGTAAGATAATTGTTTTGTTTCTTAAAGATAATTGAGTTTGGAATTGAAGAGGTTAGAAGCAAAAGGGTACAAGTGACAAAAATAGAAATAGAGTTATTCAATGTTAAAGTTTTTGTGTTTGTAAAATCCAGTGAGGTATTGCATTTATTGTTTCTTCAGCAACTTATTTGTTGAACTGTCATAAATTTTGTTCGCATAAGACACTTTTTCAAAAATTGCCTTTTTTTGTTTTTTTTGTGCACTTGTACCGTTTTGTCTACAAATAAATTTATAAAACTTGGTATTTCGCAATGTTTTATTAGTGAAAATAGCAAACTTATTTTAGCTTAGATAATAAACATAATAACATGAACATTAATTGATTAATCATCATAATGTTAGTGCAACAGGTCTGGAACATCGTTGTCTATATCACGTTCGATTTCTAATGCCTGTGATAGCAAGGCGGTATACTCGTTTTCATCGTTCTTGGCGTGTGCCTGAAATAAGCTACTACGGAATTTTTAATATTCGTCTCTCTCTGATATACAGATGCGTAATTCAATTGTGTGAGTCACGTTCGTCATGGTAAAGTGCGATGAGAAGGGAATGAAGAGACCACTCACGTCTCCCAGTATTGTAGCAATAACACCGATACGTTTGGCCGATACCGTGTCGGTGATAAGTTCGGCCTCTTTACGAATACAGATAGCTGGCAGTGACGTGTTTTTTTTAACATGTTACCCTGATCTATGCAGGTTTGTAGTAGCTGATGAAATAGTTTTTATAAGTTAACAGTTTTTAATTAATTAATAGTTTGAGCTCTTACTGTGTGGAATTCCATTACATAAAATAATACTCTCGACACCTTAAAAATTCCAGTTTATTATAAATTAACTCTCTCTCTTCCGATACCCATTGCAATAATGACTTGTGGCATTGTTCTTGAATGAGCTTGCTAATAGGTTTATAATTGTAGCAATCACCATTGATATTTTATATTGTTTTAGTCGATTTTAGTCAGTCATTGTTGGAACAGATTTGTTCCGAACAGTTTTACTTACTATTTTTTGTTGTGAATAACTAATTGTTCTATTTAATAAAAAAATGCCGGGAAAAACGATAACAGGAGAAATGTGACAATGTGTAGTTCATTTATTGGAGTATTTTAAAAAAGAAAAAGAAAAAAAACGGACCTTTGCTTTCGTTATCATCGGTACATGAACGAGTAGCGGACGTTTTGAAAATCAGTCTTCGCACAATGACAAGAATAAAGAGTGAATACAAGACAGGGGCAGCTCTTACTACACCAGGAGAGTCACGTAATGTACAAAAAAAAGACTAATGATGTCAGCGATACTATAAAAGGAAAGATTAGAAATGAACTGTATGGAATGAAAGCAAAAGGAGAGCACGTTACAATTAAAGTTCTAAATACACAATTAAGAAACAAGCATCTCTATGACGGTTCTGATACAAGTTTGTGGCGTCTTATGAAAAATTGTGGGTTTTCATACAAACTAGAAAATAGTGAGTGCTATGTGAGAAACCATGTATTGTCTCCAAACGACTGTATTTTTTGAGTCTGTTGTTTTACGTGACGGAAGTAGGCAAGGATTTGTTAAAGATGCTGGATTACTGTTTTCTACGAAATCGAAGAGTGCAGACTATCATGATTCTATGGATAAAGAGTCTTTTAAAAAGGGGTCTCCGAAAAGCTGATACCAATGTTGGAGGAATCATCTCTAATTATTATGGATAATGCCTCATACCTCTTTAATAGAAAAGTTACCGAATGCCAGTTGGAAAAAATCGGACTTACAAGAATAGTTACGAGCGAAAAAAATAATTTTGTCATGAAGATAACTTTTATTTGAACCTTTTTTTTGTATTCCCGAAATTAAGGAAAATAAGTGGGAGTCAAAATATAATGAGAAGACCTGTACATCTTTTTGATATTTAGATCAGTAGCTAGATATCTGGAGGAAGATTTTGTAATCGAGAATAATGACTCTTATATCTCGGAAATATTTTGATGTGTGATATGACCTCATCACGTCTCTCTTTAGTTATTTTGTTCCATGGTGGATGTTTAACACGTTGATCGGCTTGCAGAAATTCGTTCCTGGATAGTTTATTACACACCGTATTAAATCTGCGATTAGTTCTTGTGGAGCATAGAGCTTCAGTGAAAACGCACCATCGGGTTCTATTTTGCGCTAAGGCCTTCACCTCATTCCAAGACTTTCCTTGGCCTCTTATCTCATCCATGATGGATCTTCTCCAAGTTTGTACTGGCCGACCTCTTTTTCTTTTCCCTTGGGGATTCCACTCTAGGGCAGTCTTTGCGATACTGGAAATATTTTTTCGGAGTGTGTGACCGATCCAACCCCACTTTCTGGACTTAATTTCATTTTGTACCCTCGTTTGTTCGGTCTTCTAACAGTTCTTCCTAACAGTTTTAAAAAGAACGTCTTGTAGACTCTAAAGCTCATCAGTAGAATATGGGTGCCAAATTCTTTGTGATAGCGTGCCTAAACTTTTACTCTCTTGGGTGGAACCTTCTTAATGCAAGAACCAATGTAATTTATTTGTAAGTCATATGTCTGAATTTCATAAAACTTTGTAAAAATACGTATTGCATCATTTTCAGATATTTTCATGCAGTCATATCTGCAATCGTGCCAAAATTCCATTTCCCTTTCCTTGATAGTTTTACCTTTTTTTCGTTTTATCCTCTTTTCCACTTATTCTTGATGTCTTTGACTTTATTATTTTCCATTCGTCTTTTATTTACATTTTTCGTGCTTTTTTTGTGTAACTAAAAAAATCGGTGTTACTTTGTTCGCGTGAATTAAACAATAGAAAAACTTTACCATGAGCCGGAGCTGACGTCACTTCAAAGTCACTATTTGAAACCAATTTGTCAGGATTGAGATTATAGCCACCTTCCTCCTCGGAAGTCGGTTCATAACATTCACTGTCCTCATAAGTTGCATATGGATCCGAATTACCATCAGAATAATATTTTTCAGGTTTCTTCTTAGAATGTCCTCTCCCTACGGAGGTTGGAAATTATAATGGCTATTTTTATTTTTGAACTTGCTGCTCTAAACAAATCAATTGATCTGCATTGATACCAATCACGTAGATTCTTCAACCAAGAGTTCTGCCTTCCGCCAACAGATCTTCTTCCTTGAATCTTTCCCTGTATTATAAGTCTTAAAATTTCATGTTTTGGTCCCCTCATCACGTGGCCTAGGTATTCCAGTTTTCTGGTTTGTATAGTGGTGATTAGTTCTGTTTCTTCACCAACCCTCTCCAGTGTTTCTCTGTTTGTAATTCTATTATCAGGTTTATAGACTTGCAATTCTGCAAAATATAAAAACATTGTATGAGTTAATGTTTGCAAAAATCAACTGAAAATGTATTTAATGAATGATTGACATAAATGTATAATAAATTAATATTGTCTTACTTTTAGCAATGCTATTGTTTATTTCCAGTAACGCAGTACATTTTGTAAAGAATCTTTTTTGTGACATGCAAGTTGGTGCTTCATTTTTGGGCCTGCATATTACATCTGATGTAGATACAGAGAGTCTTAGAGCTTTTGAATGAGGCTTTAGATAATGTTATTCTATGTAATGCTTTAAATATAATACAATCATATTTGCTGTGTCTATATTCATTAAGACGTATTGCGTTTATTTTATGTCAGTATCTCTTTGGTACGGAACCGCAGATAAAAAGCCAGTCTACAGTATATATTATATCTGTAAGATAACGTCAATAATTGTATTCGTCGTAATATTATCGAGTACAGACATAAACATGAATTGGACGCTGCATCGATGATATTTTTAGTGTTAGTTTACTACTTCTGATGACATTGATATCCATAATTATAAAAAAAACTTATTGTAAACATTCGGCACAATCTACGAGAGTTTATGCACATCTATTTTTTCTGTAAGAGCTTGATAAGCGATATAAAAATTTTATTAAAGAGATATATAGAGGTCACTGCAATTGTTGACTCGGTAGAAGGAACTAGAAAATTCAAATAACAAATTGTGGTGGAGGATTTGGATCTGTTGTATTGTAGAGCAATAAAATCATTCTGTTACGTCAGAGTCAGTTGTCTTGCAGATCATTTAATGTCATCATTCAAACGTATTTTAAATGATTTAAAACGTAATTTAATGGTTTAAACGTAGTTTAAATGGTTTTTCAGATACATGATGAAAAGTTTTTAGAACATATATTTGAAAATACTTTCTAGAGTGTTTCATTGCAATTTTCCAAATCATTTGCATTACTGGTATCAATTTTTAGCCTTGATAGTACAATATTATTCTCTCTGTTCTTTTTAAGTTCTATAGGTCCTGCTTCATTTTTTCATTCTCCTTTAGTATTTTATTGGAGTTCTCCTTTAGGGTACTATTTTTTTTCGTAAGAATGCCCATTTTTGCTTTAAATTTCTTTTGATACTCTTCTTAATCTCTGAGCAGCTTCTGTGGGATCAGCTTATTACAACCATACTTTTTCTCTTTGGCCCCTTGAGCCGCATTTTGGTGCAAAGTAGACCTATTATTTATCTACCAAGATTGTAGAAGTTGGTACTACACTGCTTCTTCTTCTTCAAGTTCCACTCCTATCGGAGATTGGAAATCATTCTGGCAATTATAATTTTATTGGTTACTCGCCTGAATAGTTCAATTGAACTGCATCCAAACCATTCACGGAGATTGCGTAGCCACGAGATTTTACGTCTTCCTACGCTTCTTCTACCTTTGATTTTACACTGCATTATATTCCTCAGTAGTTCGTACTTTTCACCTCTCATGATGTGCCCCAAGTATTGCAATTTCCTGATTTTTATGGAATTTAAAACTTCGCATTGTTTTCCTAGTTGTTCGAGAACTTGTTCGTTTGTTTTGCGATCCATCCATAATATTTTCAAAATACGTCGGTAACACCACATTTCGAATGCTTCTAGCTTTTTAATGTTGGATTTTTTAAGTGTCCAAGCTTCAACTCCATACAAAACGGTAGAGAAAATATAACATCGAACCATTCTTATCCGGAGGGATATATTGATATCGCGATTACAAAAAAGTTTTCTCATTCTATTAAAAGTTGACCGCGAAATTTCAATGCGGCATCTTATTTCTTTTGTCTGATCAGTATCTTCTGCGATCCATGCTCCAAGGTATTTGTACGAAGATATTTGTTCAATTTCTGTATTATCTAGTACTAGCTTAACTTTGATGTTTTGTGCTTTTGTAAATACCATGAACTTGGTTTTCTTCAAATTTATTTTTAGTCCATAATCGTTGCAATATATATTTAGTTGTTCAGCAAGGTGTTGCAGTTCTTCTAGTGTTCGTGCCAGAAGGACGGTGTCGTCAGCATATCTTATGTTATTAAGTGGCTCACCGTTTATTATAAGGCTCTCACTGATCTCGGCAAGCGCTAATTCTGAGATGGCTTCACTGTATAAATTGAATAACAAGGGTGATAAAAGGATAAAAGGATATCCAGATTCGCCGTGGGGTCCTTGGCGGACCCCACGGCGAATCTGGATATCCTTGGTCAGTTCATTTTCAACGTTCACTTTTGCTGTTTGATTCCAATAGAGGTTACAGATGATTCTAATGTCTGTACTGTCTATGTTTTTATTTAATAAAATTTCTTTAAGTCGATTATGCTGCATTCTGTCAAATGCCTTCTCAAAATTAATGAAACTACACTGCTACAAAGTACTAATAACGTCGAATTGAATCCATTGATCCTATTTTTTAAACTTTCTTTGCTATTACTACTTTATTGACGCTTGTTTATTGTTTTTAGATAAAGTATTTATAAATAACGGATATGCAACTGGAGAGTACGAAGTCTGCAGCAAAACCGACAGTATTAATGTAAATAATCTAATTAAAAATTTACCGAACTTGCCCCAACCGGACACGACTAAGTACGTCTTGAACTGGTTCGACACTCACATCGACGATAGAGGTGGAAAGACGTTTATTAAAGAGCATTCTGTTCCAAACAACCTCACAGACGAGGACAAGCCTTTACCCTACGAAAGTTCCTTTGACGAATCCGAAAACGAGAATAACAAAAATAAGAATTTGACATTTCGGAAGTCTTACAAGAAGAAAATAAAGATAAAACATAGAAAATCTATGTCTATAGAAGATGTAAAAACAGAGAATAATGGCGTGATTTCAAGCGGGTTTGATTCTGCCGAATCGGACCATAAAAACGAAACTAAAGAAGTTTCTAGTGAAAGTGGTATCGTTTCGTTACCCAATTCCAAAGAATCTGCGTTAGAACAAGCCGGACAACAGATAAATCCGTATAATTACGAAACTATAAACTTAAAACCTAATTATGGCGATGAAAAAATTTTGGCAGCTAATAATGTCCACAATAATTTAAATATAACTTCTAAACCTTTGGAAAAACCATCTATTCTCCTAGAAAGCAACATTGTGGAAAATAGCAGCGATTACATGACTTGTTCATCGAACAGTTTGCTAAACAAAAATATTTTCTCGATAACATTACTCACAAACGATTCTAGCGATAAGTCATGCATAGACAACAAAGCAGTAGTTAGTGATAGCGTAACAGACGAAACGGGAAGCACCGAAATGAGTTTTGTTACCGTTTCGGCAGTGTACAAGTACGAAGATAAGCAAAAAGGAATTGTCCTGTACGAAAAGAGAGTGCACAAAAAGCCCAGGTGAGTAAATTTTTCTATAAATTATAAGATTGGAAGATATTTAATTGATGATAATAGAAAATATGCGGATGCGGAATAATCGATTCGTACGAAATTCTCATTCGGTTCGCGCTAGAGTACGTAAAAAATTACACCTGCAGCGTTGCCGTTGTTAACATTTGTACTGAATTATTTTAAATATAAGCTACAGCTATTTTTGCAATTAAAAGGCTTTTTATGAAGGGCTTTTTTAGGAATGTATTTTCAGAAACTAAAAATGTGCAGAAAACTTTTAAAAAATGGAAAAAATTCATGGGTATTACAACAAAAAGTTTTATAAAAATATAAAAATGCTTATAAAATAATATGAGGTCTATTTAAATTAATATAAATAATTTATGCTGTTAGACCATAAAAAAAAATAAAAAAAAAGTTACAAAAAAAGCATAAGTTATTCAAATGGACTACCTAAGTTTGACGTTACAATGGGCGGGGCTCAGAAAACATTTCCAAACAATTCTATTTTGTGTGTATTTGTCCCATATGAAGTGGGAAATATTGGTTTGTTTAATTGTTTGAAGAATAAATAAGAACTTTTGGTTATGATCATTCATTCTGTGCGATTAGTGTTATTTGTTGTTCGTGAATTTGTGAGGTCTTTTTCTTCTTTCTTGTATGTAGGCTTTAAATCCTGTTTCTTCTTTAATATTAGCCTCCTAAATTGTTTAAATTGTCGCACCATCTTTTTCTTGGCCTGCCAATACTTCTTCGTCCATTTGGTGACTTATCTCGTGCTATTCGTACTATTCTATCCTCTACCATTCTACTGATATGTTCGTTCCACTCCTGTTTTCGTTTTGTCATCCGTCCATTTATGCCTTCTATATTGCATGCTCTTCCTATGTTTTCGCTTCTTTCCCTATCCAACAGACTTTTCCTTGATATTCGTCGGAGTATTTTCATCTCTGTTGTTTCTAGTAGTCTTCTCGTTTTAGATGTGTCAGGTATTGTCTCCGCCGTGTATGTTAATATAGGTCTAATTGCTTCTTTGTAGATACTTGTTTTTGTGTCTTGTCTTTGTTTGTTCTTTCAGATCGTGCCGAGATCCCGTCGCTTTAGTTGCTTTTAAGTTTTGTTGTCGTACTTCTTCTTCAACATATCCGTAACTAGTTATATCGGGCGACTACGAACTGCCCCACGAACTACCTGGGGCCTTTAATCCGAAGTACCTACTGCCCCATCACCGAGAAAGTTGGGGATTAAGTCTTAATGACCGGAAATTCCAAATTTGATCATAGTTGAAAGTAAGAATATAAATATTTTCAGTTATTCACTTCAGTTGCACGTATTACGGTATAGTTTTGTGTTTAACATTTAAATGGCGAATCCAACGACTATGTTTAGTCAAAGGGGAGAACTGTTATTAATAATTAATGAATATAAATATTCAAAAGCCCATGTCTCCAAAGATGGAAAAGTTAGATGGCGATGCATCAAAAAAGGCTGTCAACAAAAAGTGTACACAAAGGAAGGTGATAAAAATTATGTTATTCTTGAAAAAGCATCGGAGCATAATCATGCTCCAGATATCCACGTAGACCGGCAAATTTTTAGTAATTCTACAAAGAGAAAAGCTGTAGAAGATATATGTGAAAAACCTTTTAAGATTGTCCACAAGGAATTGAGAAAAGAAAAATTGAGCAATTTACCGCTGACGACGAAAGACATTTCTTGCGTTCGAAGAAATATCTATGCTACAAGACGAAAATCCACACCATCATTGCCCAAGTCACAGGAGGAAGTTCTATAAGTGTTAGTGAACTTAAATTTAAAAACAAATACAGGTGAAAGCTTTTTATTATCTACGAAAAATAATTCCGCAATTTTTAGTTGTTTCACAAATCTTTACTTTTTGTGTAATGTAGATTCTTTGTATGTAGATGGAACTTTTCAATACTGTTCTAACTATTTTTGTCAGATGTTTACTATACATGGCTACAAAAATGGTTTTTATGTTCCTCTAGTATTTTGTTTGTTACCAAATAAATCACAGCAATCGTACAAAAGTACTTTTGATACATTAATAACAATATGTACAGATTTGAATTTAAATTTCAAACCGAAGCGAATAATTTCTGATTTTCAAATAGCAATTCAAAATGCAGCCAAGTTAGTGTGGCCGGACATTATTATTTTTTGTTGCAAATTTCATTAAACACAAAATTGGTACCGAAAAATTCAAAATTTAGGTTTGTCCTCGGAATATAAAAATCAAACTGTTATTGGAAAATATTTAAAATTGTTTTTCGGCATTCCTTATTTACATCCAAATGATGTTGGTGACTTTTTTTCTGATGAACTTTTTAATATTATGCCAGAAGATGACAGAGTTTTGCAATTTTGTGATTACCTAGTTGATAATTATTAAACGGAAGATTCAACATTTCCACCTTATATATGGGCTTCAAATTCATCATCTCTTATATTTACTACAAACGCATGTGAATCATTTCACTCGAAATTTAACGAATGTTTTTATAAATCACATCCTGACATATTTAAATTTACACACATTTTGTTAAATTTTCAAGCAGAAGTATATGTGAAAATTAGAACTGCACATAGATTCGAAAAAAAACTTGATAAAACGGCAAAAAGAAAAGTTGATTTTATTGAAAATAGGCTAAATGAATATTACGTTAATCAAAACATTACTAAATTGGACTTCATTAAGTCAGTTTGCAATTATTATGCAGCTAACTTTTAAAATCTAAAATAAAGTGTTCACTCTTACTTATTTGAATCACTAGTCTGACATTAGAATTTAGCATTGTTATTGTTTAACTGTAGTTTTTGTTATTGTATATAAGTTAATGTAGATTTATAAATAAACTTTATTCGATTACTTCTAATGTTATAGTTTCATTATTTAATCATTTAAAATTTTCGCTCATGCTTTGGGAATTGGGTTCCTTTTTGAATACAAGAAAGTAAAATAAAAACTATGTTATGTTCACAAAAATATTATTTAAGTACGTAGGTAGCGTGGGGCAGTTCGTAGTCGCTTTTAATCCTACTATAAAACTTAACCCATTTAAATCTAGGTAGCGTGGGGCAGTTCGTAGTCGCCGGTTATATCTATTCCCAGATATCTAAACCCTGCTTCCTGCTTTATTTTCCCATCAATTTTGATTTTACACCGTAGTGGATATTTAGATGTTGTCATACATTTGGTTTTTTCTGCTGATATTATCATATTGTATTTCTTAGCTGTTGTATTGAAGATATGTGTTAATCTTTGGAGCTTGTCTTCTGGCTCGGTGATTAATGTGGCGTCGTCTGCATAACATAATAATTGGATTCTTTGTTCCCCATTCTGTAGCCATGACCTTTACGTACTGCTTGTAATATTTCGTCCATTATTATATTAAAGAGAAGTTGGCTTAAAGAGTCACCCTGTATGACTCCTCTTTGTACTGGTATACATTGTGTTAGTTTTCCATTTATCTTTGCCTGTATTCGATTATGGAGGACGTCTTCGACTTGGATGCGATCGAAAGCCTTTGTTAGGTCTATATTCAGATATCTAGAATTTGCTTTGGGTGGATTTTTCTATTAGTGACTATAAAATCAATAGTCGTCTATAAAACTTCAAAATGTGTAGCTCCAATTCGCTCAGCTTGGAGTAGTGAAGGGAGTATAGTAGCGAATTCGGCTAGAAAGTTTAAACCGAAAATTAACAAAATGTTGCCACAATTAAAATAAAAAAAGTTATCATTTTATATAGGTACATAGAAAAGCATGTATATGTGCATTTTTCCTGTTATATCAAAATTGAAAAATCTGGAAAGTCATATAAGTATCAAATACAAAAATATATTTAACCAAGTATAAATACTACAGTAAATAAAGATACAAACTAAAGCCGATGAACTACAAAAATTAAATAAAGAAATATCCAAATCTGTTACACAAGACACTCGGCAATACAACCAAGAACAAATCGAACATACCATTGAGAACAATAGAAGCATGTAAGTATTGAGAAAAAGACTAAGAACGGGGACAAGACAGATAATAAAGATTAAAGATAGAAATGGTCATCTTACAACCAACAGAGAGGAAACCCTTAAAATAGTTGCAGACTTCTACAAACTGCCGTACACAGGCCAACATAAAGCAAATAGAAGAGAAGATCAAGTACCAGAAATATTAACAAGGAAAAAGAGCATTGTCAACCAAGGATCAGAACTAATACCATAAATCACAATGGACGAAATAAAACTAGCCCTAAGAAAAGCTAAGAATAACAAATCTCCAGGCGAAGATTGTGTAGTCACTGATACAATCAAAATCGGAGGCACTTGCCTACTTAAGAAAATAAAAAACCTTTTTAATATGTGCCTTTTAGACAGTAATATACCCGACAAATCGCACAGTGCTGAGGTAATTCTATTGTAGAAAAAAGGAGATCCCCATGAATGAGAAAACTACAGACATATAAGTCTTCTTAATCACTTATAAAAACTCCTTACAAAATAGTAACGAATCGTCTTGATAGAAAACTTGATTTCTACAAACCAATAGAGCAAGCGGGATTACGTACCAGATTTGGAACAAATGATCACGTACAGAGCATTAAAACGATAATAGAAAAGACTATCGAATACAATCGACCACTCGTTCTGGCTTTTGTAGATTTCCATAAAGCCTTTGACACGGTAGAATTTGACAAAATCCTGGAAGCACTACAAGCGTGCCCCATTGACTATCGATATACAAAGTTAATTTACAATACATACAAGAACGCAACTATGTCGATGAAACTAGATGAAAACACGGATCATATCCCAATCGGCAGAGGAGTCCGACAGGGTGATACCTTATGGCCTAAACTGTTGACCGGAGTACTAGAATATACTTGTAAAAAACTTAACTGGGAAGAAAACGGCCTGAACATTGACGGTAGAAGATTAACAAATTTTGTTTTCGGACAACCTCAAGGAGATATGTACAATGCTACATGAACTTCAGTTAGTGTGTGCCAGTGTGGGTCTTAAAATAAACATCTCCAAAACAAAATTCATGACACGACCTAGTACCTCTCGGAAATATCAATATTGGAGACAACGAAGTAGAGCTGGTGGAAAAATACGTATATCTTGGACACGAAATAAAGATCACAAGAGACAACCAAACATGCCAACTACGAAGAAGAATAAACCTAGCATGGGCAACCTATGGAAAATTCTAAGACATCTTTAAAAGCGATATTTGATCAATGTGTGTTGCCTGTGATGACCTATAGTGCTAAAACTTTGACATTGACAGCTACAAGTTCTAAAACGCTGCAAATAGCTCAGAGGAAAATAAAAAGGTCAATGCTGAGTATATCGTTTCGTGACTGAGTTAGAAATGAAGACTAAAGACGAAGAACAGGGTTTACCTATGTAATTTCCCGAATTGCTACACTGAAATGGAACTGGGCCGGACACGTCACCCGAATCAGCGAAGAAAGGTGGACGAAGAGATTGCTTGAGTGGAGGCCTAGTAGAGCCGAACAAAAGAAGTAGAGGAAGACACCCTACTCGTTGGACTGATGACCTCAAGAAAAGGTCAAGAAATTGGATAAAAAATGCTCAAGATAGAGCACAATGGACAACAATGAGGGAGGCCTATGTCCAGCAGTGGACGCAAAGGGCTGGGTGATGATGAAATAAAGATCTATTTCTAATTACTTACATTTCTCTTCAGAATCACTGTCGCAGGTGAAATTTCCCTACGGTAATATTGTAAGAAGGCTATTTGGGATTATTACTTTTGTCCCTAATTTTAGTGGTGATCACTTCTGTCCTCCAGGTTATTTTAGTTAGTAGCACGTCAAGTTTTATACATTCCGACTCTTCTCTAGCATAATTTGTATATCGTCAGCACATCTGCCTTTATTTACCCATACCTAATTCAATTTTCAGTGAGAACAATGGAAGCGTTAAAACATTATCATCCAAAATGTCTTCCTTGCCCGAAACCATTAACTATGATGCTGATACTCTGCGGAGAGAGCTTACCATCCTAGGTTTTAATCCTGGACCTATTACTGCCACTACCATGAGGGTGCATTTGAAGAAATTGCATCAGCTGAGGAAACTATCACCCTGGGTCCGTGAACAGAGCAGGAAAACCGAATCAAAAAGAGGTGAGTAACAAAATTAATCTAAAAATCTACTAATCTAAAATTTTATTGTCCTCATTGTTATGGGGGCAAATTTTGTGAAACCATCTTACTTTTTACTCATCCACATTGGCAAAACGTGCAGAATAAAAATTACCCAGGTACAGCTACAATAGAATATTTATGATCAGACCCATGCAGTAGCGTTGCAATATTAAACAAATTAAATTATTTGAAATCGCACTAATTACAAAACTATTACTCACTTAAATAATAAATGGAGTTTGATTGTACACAAATTGTTTTATAGATACCAAACTTTTTGTTTGTTATAATACCGTCTTTAATAATTGATACTCTATAAAGTTTCTTCTTCAAGTGCCATCTTCGTTCCGAAGGTTGGCGATCATCAGGGCTATACGTATTTTCGAAACTGCTGACCGAAACAATTCGTTGTTGTTACAGCTATACCATTCCCGTAGATTCTTTAGCCAGGAGTTTCGTCTTCTTCCTATGCACCTTTTTCCTACTATTTTCCCTTGCATAATTATTCGAAGCAGTTCATATCTTTCGCCTCTTGTAATGTGTCCCAAGTATTGCAGTTTTCGTTTTTTGATCGTAAATATGACTTCCTTTTCTTTATTCATTCTTCTCAAGACCTCGACATTTGTGACTCTCTGGGTCCATGATATTCTCAGGATTCTGCGATACATCCACAGTTCAAATGCCTCTAATTTTTTGATATCAATATTTTTCAACGTCCATGACTCCATTCCGTAGAACAGCACAGAAAGTACGTAACATCTCATTAAGCGAAGTTTCATTTCAAGGCTCAAATCTCTTCCGCAGAACACTCTCTTCATGTTAGTGAATATGGATCTGGCTTTTTCTATTCTTATTTTGATTTCTGCTGAGCTATCGTTGTCTTCATTTATAAAAGTACCTAAATATTTGTATTTGCTAACTCGATCGATAATTTCATTGTGTAAATATAAATTTTGGACAGCTCGTGTTGATTTTGATATTACCATAAATTTAGTTTTCTTTATGTTCAAAGATAGTCCATATTCTTCGCTGCAGTCTGCTATCTTATTCACCAATGTCTGTAGCTCTTCAAGTGTTTCTGCGATCAGAACTGTGTCGTCGGCAAATCTCAGATTGTTTAATCTAACACCATTTATTTTAATACCTACGGATTGCTCAGAGAGTGTTATATTCATTACGTCTTCGGAATAGAGATTAAACAGGGTTGGTGACAGTATACACCCTTGTTTCACACCTCGCTTTATTTCAATATCTTAAGTGGTATTATTCTCTACTCTCACTACTGCTTTCTGATTGTAGTACATATTTGCTATTAGTCGAACGTCTCGTTTATCTAAATTCTTTTCTGTCAGGAGTCTGATTAGGTGATCATGCCGCACTTTATCAAAGGCCCTGTTGTAATTTATGAAACACATGAATACATCTTGATTTATGTCAAGACATATTTGAGACATAGTGTGCAAACAGTGCAAACAACGCCTCTCTTGTTCCGAGTCCATTTCGGAATCCAAACTGGGTATTATTGATGTCCATTTCCAGTTTTCTGTGTATTCTAGAGTATATAATTTTCAGGAATATTTTCAATACATGGCTCATCAGACTGATTGTACGGTAATCACTACATTGTTTGGCATTTATCTTTTTGGTATAATAACAAAGGTGGATAAAAGCCATTCTTGTGGTATTTTTCCTGATGTATAAATGCTATTGAAAAGTTCAACTAAAATGTGCATCGAGTCTTTTTCGATTCGTTTAAGCATTTCCGTTGGTATTTCATCTGGACCTGGAGCTTTACCATTTTTCATTCTTTTTAGTACGTACATTACTTCCTCTTCCGTTATTTCTGGACCTTCGTCTCTTTGTATGTTACTTAAATCAGATTGTTGTCTATCATCTGCAAAGAGTTCTTCAATATAGTTTTTCCATGTATTCAACTGTTCTTCTAGTTTTGTTATTATGTTTCCGTTATTATACAGGGTATTTGGCTGCTTACGTTTTTGTGTACCTGCAAGTTCTTTCACTTTTTTATGTACATTAAAAATATCATGTTTTGCCTGCAATTGCTCTATTTCTTCACATTTTCTTTTATAAAAATCTTCTTTTGTTATTCTGATTTCTATTTTGATTTCTTTCTGTATTTGTTTATACCTTTGTTCGTTTTTTCCTTTCATTATTCTCCGATTTTAATGAGAAGAAGGATCTGATCAGCCATCCACCTTTTCTTTATTTTTGGTTTTTCTTTAGTCCGAATTTTCTTCGCAGGACCTGTTATCGCCATTTTTACGTTTTGCCATTTTTTATCTATGTTGTTCGTTGGCTGAGATGTTTCTTTTTCATGAAGTATTTTCAAATTATTATTAATACATTTTTGCAGTTTCTCTTTAGCTCCAGGTTACATAAATGACTGACGTCTAGCTGATTTGCTCTTCTTTTCTGTTCCAATCTTTTTAGTTTAATACTCATTTGCGCTATTAGAGGGTTATGGTCTAAAAAGACATCTGCGTCTGAGTAAGCTTTAACGGATTTTAAGGAGTTTATGTATCGTTCGTTTATCAGTAAAAAATCAATCTGGTTTCGAATTTTATTCTTTCGTCATTGTCCTGGGGTGATTTCCACGTATAAAGTCTTCTCTTTGGTAAGTTGAAGAATGTATTAGATATAATCATGTTATTCTCCTGGCAGAATTGAAGTAGTCTATCACCTCGTTCATTTATTTTAGCGAGATCGTATTCTCCTACATGTTTGCCAATTTTTGAGTTAAAATCACCTAGAATTACGGTGATGTCTCGTGGTTTCGTCGATTTTAATACTTGATAAAGTTTGGTAAACGTTAATTTCCAATTTATAGTATCAGTTACCTATATATAACAAGCGAGTCTTCTACAGCTGGCGTCGCTTCTCGCATCCTAATTTCCAGCGTTTTCTGTCGAAGCAATCTTCAGTTGTTAGATCTCTGGCGGTCATTGCATCATCGTCATCGTCTCTCCAGGATCGTGTTGATCTACCTTGTTTTCTTCTAGTTGGCGGAGTCCATTCTTCTATTTTTTTAAGTACTTGGGAGTCCAAATAACATCAAAAGCAGGAAGTAGCGAAGAAATACATTCCAGGATTGGCCAAGCAAGATCAGCCACCAGACAGCTACACGGACTATTATGGAATAAACAAATAACAAAAGAAAATAAAAGAAGAATTTATAAAACAATAATAGAAAGTATAGGACTGTATGGCGCGGAACTCTGGGAAATAAACCAAAGAAACAAATCAAAAATTAAGGCCATGGAAATGAACTACTGGAGACGATGTTGCCAGCTCACTAGACTTGATAGGGTGAGAAACGAAGATATTCGGAGAGAAATGGAAATCGATCTAGACATAATAGACACAATCGAAGCCAAAAGACTTAACTGGTATGGACACCTTCAGAGAATGCCGGAAAATAGATGGCAAAAAAAAATAGAAGAATCAGTTACCTTAAAACTGTAATTATAAAGTCATTATTAATGACTCCTTAACGACTCGTTAAGGACATACAAAGAACTGATAAGAATTATTTCCGAGATGTTAATTTTTAGTCACTGGATTTCAAACGAGTTCGTAATTTTCAAACTATTTTGTAGAATGAAGCTGGTTAAGTGTTGTACGAGAAACAAATCAGATTGACACAATAATCCAAAGGAATAGTTTATATACAATGCATTTAAATATATGCAAATACTATTTCCTGAAGGTAATCGAACCAGTATTTCTACCATGTGCTTCGGCATCTAACCTTTTTTACTTAACCTGTATTTATAATCATCTGTCATCCTAATTCACTCAATGACACAAATTATCACAAAAAGGATTAATGGAAGTATTGCACTTTACAAAAAAGATGTAATATAAGAAGAATTCCTTAACAATGTCATAGATGTGCAAAGCATAAGCAAACTGACTAAATTCATGACATACTGGAAATGCTATACAATCACTACTCTATAATAAGTGAGCTACAACAAAAAATATAGTTTCTTATTCATCAGATGAGTTGTCAATTTTGTTTTGTCATGTTTGATATATTTATTCCATTTTTTTCACAATGTATATCACTTTTTGTGTCTCAACTAAACATATAGTAAATGTTTTCAACAAAATTTCAGTGTATTCTCCGGAAATAGAGGCAACTCTTAAAAATCCCAGTTGGACTACCAATTTAGCAGCTTACAAATTATTGGAAGATGCGCTTGTAAAGGAATTCAGCTGTCCGTCTACAACGAGAAAATGGCGAGAGGGAAATTGTAAGTCGTCGTTTGCTTATTTGTTGTTAGATCCGAGAAAAACGAATAATCTACCGTGCAGGGCGGATACGATGAACTCCAAAGATGTTTGGGAAACGTTCCTTTCTTCAATATTTTATGTTGGAAAAGGTATGTAACTTTTCTTTGTTTCGTTATATAGTAAAAAAGCATTCCGGGTTGATATTGAAGGATAGTGTGATAATAGTGGATATTTTGCAACTTTTAGACTGCATTGATGGGAAAAGAACTATTATATTATCGTAAAATAACAACTCTTTTTTATTTTAGGTAAGAAAAATCGTCCATTTTCCCACCTCTACGACGCAGTAACACACTATAGGCAGAACAACCCCGTGACCCCAAATCAGAAACTCAAGACCATCGTAGATATATGGAACAACAGATCGGGAGTGATCTGTCTACATATTTTCCACAATATAATCCCAGTTGAGGCCTATACCAGAGAAGCCGCCATGATAGCAGCTCTAAAACTGGAGAACGTTTCGAATATGAGGATCGGAGACTTTTACGGCACTGCATCGATGTGGAAACGGAAAGAGAAATGCATGTTAGGAACTTATTTGTTGTATAAGGCGATGAATATATATTTACAGGAGGGAGAGAGGCAGCTGTCACTAAATGATATAGAATGTGGGTGAAGTTTGAGACCTTTTTAGGTTCTTTTTCGGGGGCGATTAGTTTTTAATTAGTCATTCACACAAAAATGTGTTTCAGAAGTACACTAGAGACTTAAATGATTTTTATTTCCACAAGGAAAAATTCCTGTAGCTGGCTGTATACCACGTATAACAAAAAGAGGTTAATCTTTGTAAATGGGTATATTTATTTAAAAAACCCTTAAAAGGGCCACATCAATATAACAAACGTTTTCGGACCACACAGTCCATCATCAGGTTATTAAAATCGAAAATGCTAGGTCATAATGCCTGAGCCACCAAAATATTAGGGTAAAAACCCTTTAAATTACATTTAGTTATGAAATGTTGTACATTGTGTTATAAAATAACTGTGATGTTCAATATTAAATTAAATTTGACTATAGGTAACACATGGCCAATTGGGTTCCAGAGCCGGGTGAGAGGGAACCTCTGCACTCGGAGAACAACGTGGAACTCAGTTCTCAGAACTCAATAACGTCAGTTCCACGTTGTTCTCCGAGTGCAGAGGTTCCCTCTCACCCGGCTCTGGAACCCAATTGGCCATGTGTTACCTATAGTCAAATTTAATTTAATATTGAACATCACAGTTATTTTATAACACAATGTACAACATTTCATAACTAAATGTAATTTAAAGGGTTTTTACCCTAATATTTTGGTGGCTCAGGCATTATGACCTAGCATTTTCGATTTTAATAACCTGATGATGGACTGTGTGGTCCGAAAACGTTTGTTATATTGATGTGGCCCTTTTAAGGGTTTTTTAAATAAATATACCCATTTACAAAGATTAACCTCTTTTTATTTTTATTTCAATAAAATGCTTGCCGTGTTTTTAAAGTATTTTGGAATAAAAAAAGAAACAATTCTAGTTCTCGTAACAATAATGTATTTTCGTGGTTTAGGTAAACCTCGAATCATGCAACCACTTTTGAACCCAATTCTTGCGTAAGGCCGTCACGTGACTGAATACCGCAATACGGCAATACTGCCGCAGTTTTAATCTCATAATTATCGTCATATCTCTGGCCTACCCAGTGGTTTTTCCAATACAAAAAGAGCGGCACTTAGTTAAAAAGTTACCGTTCACCAATATAAAATCACCCATTTACGTACCGTTCATTAGTCGTAATGTTTCCCAACAAATTTGACTGATTTTACTATGAATATGACCCATTTTCAATGCTTTAGCGCATTGAAAACGAATCACAATATTTATTTCACGATAGTTGACATTCTTAGCTGACGAAAATAATGCAATGAAAGATGCGAGCACAACCACATGCGTCAAATACTGACTTATCACAACTCTTAGTAGCTAAATGATCAGGTGAGCTCTAGAGTCCTGGACATTTAAAGGAACTCATTTTTCAAAGAGTCTGACCTATATACGTACTATCTTTTTATCAATCGAAATGTTTTTCCCACAAATTTGACTGATTTCTCTATGAACATCATCCATTTTCAATGTTTTAGCACCGTGTCAACGAATCGTTGGCATTCTTTAGCGACAAATTAGCATTTGTATTATGTGCATGCGTAATAGAAATATTTTGTAGCAAAATGGGCGTGTTACTATTGAATAACTCATTTTTTGATCACAATTCTTACTAGGTAAATGTTCAGATGGACTCTTGAGTCCTGGACATTTGAAGGAACCCATTTTTCCAAAGTGTCTGGCCTATATACGTACTATCTATCTATCATTCGTAATGTTTTTATATTCGTAAAGGAAACTTTTTATGAATGACACCTTTTCATTGGTTGTTCTGTTTTGAATGTTTCTGTTAAAAGTGTTTGATAATCTTTACTTTGTGTACCTATTCCATTTTCAATATATATGTATCTTCGAATATCTCATGTACATAGTGGTAAAATTTATTCAAGCTTATTTTAACACCGCCCTTCACGTACTGTTTATCAGTTGTCAATAAAACTGTATCTTCTCTAACAAAGAAGGTATAAAAATGTATCTTTTAGTTTTGGTGCCATTCCATATCAATTCCTATATCGCGTATTGAATATTTCTTGAAAAGTTTTGTTAACTATCGACTGTTCGTTATTTTGGCACAGCGTTGCCATATCCTCGAGATTGTAAAGAATATAGAGAAAAATCTAGATTACTACTATTATTTTCTTATTACATAAGGAAAAATTACAGCAACAAATGTAATGAAATTGTACAATTAAATTAAAATACAAAGCTAATTATTCCTTTGTAAAATGTTCAAACAGCTATTGGTTTTTCAAATTTGTCGAGATTTATAAAACTGAATATATAAATGAGAACAATTTCTATAATTATAACCAGTTTTTGAATGAAGTGATCGTTGAACAATTCAAAATATTAAATTAATGAATTTATATGGTGCTAAAACCACTATTTAATTGTTTTTTTTCTGGTTTTATTGATAGAACTACACTATATAATTGGCGATTCTTTAATAATTCTCTAGTCTAAACGTTCAGGCCGGCCCAATCTCTGATATTGCAAAGCCATGATGTTGCCCTTTTACCTACACTACTTAGTCCTCTATATTTCCTTCTATTACTATTCGTAGCAGATTATATTGATCATTTCTCATTGTATGGTCCAGATATGAAGTCTGTCTTTTCTTAACCGCCCTGAAAGAGCTTACTCTCTGTTTATGGGGTTTAATACCGTTCATTCGTTATGTGTTGTTTCTATGATATTCTAAACGTTCTGTGATTAAGCCACATTTCAAAGGCTTCTAGCCGTTTCACGGTATTTAATTTTAATGTCCAGGTTTCAACTCCATACAGAAGAATGGCCAAACGTAGCATTTATTAACTCTAATTCGGATGTGAAAGCTTAGTTTTTGGTTATAAATAATTTGCTTCAATTGATTGTATTTTTTTGTGTTGTTTTTTGTGTTTTTTAATGGTCATTAGCGCAAATACATTAAAGATCCAATGGTGTACCGTTTGTCTGATGCTATGTAGGGTAAAAAATTTTAGTACCAAATAAAATTATAAAAATGATTCTAAATAATTATTAATGACATAGAACGGACTTGAGAGAAAAAAATATTACGATGTTATATACGAATGTCTAATCAATAAGTAAACGCCCCCTATTATGGTTACAAAAAAAACTATGAGCAACTACATATGACCTATTTTATTTGAAATGTAATTGTTACAAAATTATGTAAAATATTGTTCTAGAGAAAATTTATTGAGTTTCCACAAACTGACTGTCTGTGATTGTCCTTTACCTTAGTCGTTATAGGAAAAATATAATTTTTGGTTTTCACAAAATTACCAAACTCATTTTATTGAGAAATACTTAAATGTAATGTGTAAAAACTATTACGTTTACTTCGAATTCTTTGTCTAATTTTTGTATCTTATTTTATTCGTACTTTATTTAAATATATTTAAACTCCTAAAATTAGACAACCAAAATTGTTTTATACACAATGTACCAATTTCTTTAAATCTTAAGTGCAATGATTGCGAATGATTAATATGTTTATTATATTATTATTAATTATGTATATTTAATTTAAAGAAATATATTATTTTTAGATAAATATGTATTTATTTTATTGTTAGTTCCTTACAGCTCCATATTGTTGAAATTGTTTTAATTAGAAACACATCAAGATTACATCCAAATTAAGGCAACGAATAATGTAGTTAATTGGAGAACAAGAGCAAAAAAAATAATTATAATAAAAAAATATACCATGATAAAAACTGACATGCGCCTGTAAAGTGACACCTGCTCAAAATAAGTAAGTTCCATGAAGACTTAAGATGCAGACTCTGTAGCAAAGATCCTACCATATATTGCGTGGCTACAAGCCATTAGATCGTAGAAGGCAAACACTTTTTGGATACTACCGATTGACTCATATGATACCCATTTTTAAGACCTGTATCAGCCGGCACAGGATTGCAGAATCTTAGAATGCGTATCATGAAGGAATGGAAGATATACAATTAAGCGAGTAATGAAGTACAACCAATTTACAACAGACTTTTGTTGACATGCTTTTGTTAAGAGTTTGACTCTGCACACTAATCTCTAATGTAATGTGGGTTGCGCAATTATCGCCAGCTCTTGATAGCTTCCTGTTGAGATGGCGTGTCCAATAAAGACGTGCTAGATCAAATGTGATTTTAATTTTATAGCAGGATCTATTTATATGATTGATTAATTACCATCATAACTAAAAAAAAAACAATTATAGCGATAAGTGAAAAAGAATTAACAAAAATCATTAATCATTTGAGATCATCATAAATCAAGAAGAGGAATGAGGGAAAAAGAAAATGAAGGAGAAGATAACTTTCTAGTTTAAGTGGAAGAGGAGTTAATTTTTGTTTCCAAAGGGTAAAACTTTAAATATCTAGGAGTGAGAATAAATAAAAAACGCTGCGGAGAATAGGAAATTAAAACGGGAATAGCAGAAGGGAACAAAAAATATGAAGTATTAAGAACGTTAATGAAAATCTAAATACGTATTAAGAAGGACAAAAATAAAAATATACAAGACAGTTATTAGACCAACAGTTACATATGTAAGCGAAACGGTTACTGAAAATGTCAAACAGACCGTTTAGAGAGATGGGAAATAAAAATCTTTCGAGCAATATATTATGGAGGTATGAAAACAGAAGGATTGTGAGAACAAGAATTAAAAAAGACCTGGAAGACCAATACTGGTATATACGGGAGGTATATGTTGAGTTTTATAACATTTATTCCTTTTAATACATCTGATTTCTGGCATTATATTCGTATGTCAATATCAAATGACAAGTCTACGCACTTGAGTATCTTATCACTTATTGCCAATTCGCAATAATATACAAATCAATTTATTATAGTTAGTAAAAGGCTATAATCGGTAACGAAAATAAGGACTGGTGACATAATAACAAAAATAGAGCAGTTTTGAAAACCAATATAGAAGGGAAAGAAAGGCAGTCAACGAAAAATTATAACG